AAAAAAAAATTAAAAAGTGTTCCAACAAAGTAAGGGGGAAAATTCCCAAACTATATAAGTAAGGCTATAGTTCAATCATCCCCCACGAAAACCAGCAAAAAACTAACGATTTTCTGTGTGATTATGCTACAGCATTGAAATAATATATTATTATTTTTCAAACTTATTATTAAAAGCAACCAGTGCAAAATAACTTATTCAGTTCATACATATTTCTTTCACTCCCTATATGTCATTGAAATTAAAAGATTGCTGCCTGCTAGAATATATATAAATGTGTGTATATATGTTTGCTGTCAGAATACATAATAACTGCACTTTATAATATTATTTCTTTAAAAAGGATATTAATTAATCTATTTTGAATGATGAAGTATGGTCAAGTCTTCTCATACTTTCCGTGTCTGTTTTATAAACCTACATTTAACTCTAGAAAAGTAACTCAGCTTATGTCTTAGCAATCTAATATCAATAGTTATGTTTCACTGCATGACTACTTTTGCGTTATACCAACTTTAGAGTTTAAATGTGACCCACACAAGTGTGTGTGGTTTTTTTTTGTTTGCTTTTTTTTTTATTTTACTTCATTTTTTTTAACAGTTCTATTTTATTTAGCTGCTGTGCCTTTTGAATTTCTTTTTTTTTGGTTGTACAGCTGCTTTTGTAGATGATTTTTCTTTCAAAATATAAACCAAAAAAAATATCTATAGTGCCTTCTGTGAAGGTTCCTAAAATAGAAATAATTCACCACTTACCTATATTTAATGTAATTTTAGTTTATTTGATTATTTTTGTGCTGATTGTGAGAAAGCTCTGTGTTTGTAAATTAAAGTTGCCTTTACTGTGTATAAAAAAAATCTGCATGCAATTGTGAGGTGTGCGCACTCTTAATAAACAAACCTTTTCAGGCAATTTGTTTTTCCCACTTTGGTTTTCTGAAGAGTAATTTTATTTAGGAATTACAGACACCATCATTATAGAGCATAAATGCCTTTTTTGTTTAAATGGAGGAGAATTATGTTAGAATATGTTATACAAAAGAACCATCCATTTTCCATCATGCTTATCCCTGCTCGGGTCACGAGGGGTGCTGGTGCCTATATCCAGCTGTCAATGGGAGAAAGGTGAGGTACACCCTGTACAGGTAGCCATAAACAAAACAGAGACAAACAGTACAAACAACCATTCACACAAACACTCACACCTAAGGAGAATTTAGGGAAACCTAATTAACCTAACGCCCCAAAAAACTTAATTTTTTTGGACTGTGGGAGGAAGCTGGATTACCTGGAAGAACCCATGGATGCACAGGGAGAAAATGCAAAGTCCATGCAGAAAGACCGCAGGCCAGCAATTGAACCCAGAACCTTTTTGCTGCCAGGAAGCAGTGTTACCCACTGCCCCATTTTGCAGCCACAAAAGAACCAACATTTTTTTATACTTGAATATAATAGGTCTTTTTGAACAGGAGTAATAAAAACATGCTTGAGATTTGGCATGTCTCATTGTATTAGATTTGTTCTACACCATGTCAACCACAAATGCAGACAATTTCAGACCTCTGGCTACAACAGTCCCAGAGCTGTGGGACTTTGAACTTTTGGTCTCACTAGCGTCTCTAAATCTCTCCAAATGTGCCAAATGATTTTACTCAGCTAATTGATCCATACAAAAAGTATTTTCCACTTTCTTTCAAAATCAGTGCCTAAAACAAAATGTAACATTTTTACACCTACAATAATATAAAAATCTATAAAAAATAGTGAACCTGCTGCTTTTCATGCTAAAATAAGCCCCAGTGCCTTTTCTGAGCTGTGTTTTGTTTTTCTTTCAGCCTTAGGCATTGTAATAAAACAAAATCAGCATCCAACTTTAAAAAAATAGGACCGTTGTTAAGATTCAGCTTCGAGCTGCGCGCATTGATCCAGTCTCAGCTGTGTTTCACTCTTACATAAGCCGGTAACACGGCTCTGCTTTATGCAACCTAGCTATGTCTAACCTTGTTTGAAACATTATTTCATTCTTCAACAGCCAATGTGGTCTTAACCAATAACAGCAGGACTCTATGAGGCATAATATCTCTCTACTCAGTGCTGTTGTTTGCTCAGCGCCTGTGAGATTTCAGCAACTGTCCCCGACTCACATTGAGTCACACAAAGACGCAGACACATTCGTCTTGTAGGTAAGAAGACGATGTAAAGAAACATACCAAACATCACAGGCAAACAACTGAGTAAATAAGTATTAGGAAGTAAACATTAGTAAGATACTAAGCATTAGATATGACCAGCTAACTTTTCTGATGTCAAAAACCGGATAATAAACAATTGAATATTTGATTTATAAAAAAGCTTCTGGATGCCATCAAATGTATGTTGTTGTGGCTGCTTTGTCATTTTCACATTTTGACATGCTGCTCTATATGTGCTAATTGTGCTTTGTTGCTCGCTGTGTCCATGGAATGAACTTTGTTGAATTGTGGAGAATTTAAGCTTTCCAACAATGTCTAACATGTTTATATTGGTAAACATTTTACCGGTGTAATTTTCATGCGTTCTGAGCGATGAAATGGGTCGACCGCGATCCGGTGGGTTTGAAGAGCATAAACAGGACCAGAAAACAGCAGACCAGGCCATAATGACAGAGAAAACAGAAACTTCAATACCACAAGGATTTGAATCCCTATTGCACCAGAAGTACCTCCAGTGTAAAATGAACACATCGTAATGATTTCCTGTGGCGACCCTTAAATAAAGAAGCAGCCAAAAAGACACACATAGAAATAAAGCAGGTGAGTGCCATTAACAGAAACACTAACAGGTGTTGACAATAACAATATGTACAACACTTTGACTTAAAGAAAATAAACTATTTTTGGGGGATCATGATGATTTTGGAAAATGGATATATGTGATCAGAATGGATGATTTGATTAGTATATTAGTAGGATGAGTGCAATCCCAGATGGCTTCCTTAACCCCACAATTCTAACTATCTTGGTCAATTCTTTAAAGTACCCTAAGGCTTTATTTTGAACAGACTATCGTGGTGGTTGGAGTACCATAGTTGGATTTTATGGTAAGTACCACAAAATTAATTGCAATGAACAAAAATGAAGAAAGCAAAATATTACAGAACTTTAATGTTCACAAGTGCTAAAATAGATTTGACTGAAAAAATGTAAAGGTTAAAGGCACACTATGCAACATTTTTCAGTTAATTAAT